TAAATTTATGTCATTTATGTACATTATTTGATTATATTTTTTATAATCAAATACGTAGATTTGCACGGTAGGTTCGCCATACGTAGATTTTAATCCTGGCTCCGCCACTGTATATATATAATATAAACTAGATTAGGAAATAAATATAACTCAAAAAACTTTTTTTTTCAGTGATTCCTAATACTTGTAGGAACATGTCTTCAACTATACTTATTTTTAAACTTATGCAAAAAAAAAAAAATACTATATCTTTCAAATATTAGCAAGATATTATGTATATATTCATAATATCGAATATACATGATATTTAGCTAATTTCACATTTCGGGACCTTTTTAAAAGGCCGACAGATAGCTCATAGTGACAATTAAATCAACGAGTCAATTAAATTAAGGAAATTGATTGAGGTCGACCGCCATTGATTTGCGTACGTACACCTGTTATATTAAATTGCAAGATATTTCTCTTAAGTGCTATTAATGAAGGGCAATGTCAAATGCTTATTATGAAGCACGTTTTTTTCATTGTTCTGTTTTGAGTGCCTCAATCTGTTCATCTAAATGAACTTGCCGACTTGAGAATATCTAATGGTTACAATTCTACCATATATGTCTTTTTCATTCCGTCGAAAATCGATTTTACGGTATAGACGCTTCTCTTCTCCTACTATCTGATCTTGTAGATTAGGCCCTCAAATTTCTTACTACAAACATATACTTATACTATAAATCTTGATACTTCTATTCATATTATTTTTCAAAATATGGCAATTGATTATAATATTACGTGGAATATGATTGTTCCGTTTTGGTATGAAATCAACAGTTGGCTCTGTAGTTAAGTCATTCTTTTATATACAACAAGTAAATCATATCATATTCATAAAATTATTTGTGTTATTTAAGTAATCAGAGAATATAATGTGGTTTACTTGTTGTATATAAAAAGTTAGCTCCACTATAAAATTAAATGTTGATTTTATAGCAAAATCGATGATTGCCTAACTTCATGCAAGCTAACAAAATACCTATGCATCTTGACATATATACACTAGTAACTACATTTAATTTCACAATAGTAAAGTTAATTTAAAAAAAAAAAATGGAAAAAGGTGTGGGCCAAGATATCTGGCAGTTTATTTTTAATGGGAAACACGTTTTTTGAATTGTTGGATTTGTGGCTGTGGGCCTTGCTGTAGGTGGGGCTGAGTCACTCTGTTGAGTGGATCACTTTGATTGATCCAATTTTTGTCTACTCCTCAAAGAATTCGAATATCGGCTTGTTTGTTAATTGAGACGAGTTTGAATAAAAAATTTGGCTTGTATTATTGACAAACTATACGAGCTCATTCACCAATGTTCGATGATGTTAACGAACATTTTTTGATATGGTTTTGTTTTATTTTAAGTTCAATAGTCTTAACAATAAATTAAAATATTAATTATTATTATTTATTTTATTTTTTATTTTTGGACGGATCTCGAGTTAGTAAAAAATTTAATTTACAAAATTTATTTACTAAATTATTCAATCATGAACGAATTTAAATTTTAAAGACCAATTAAACGAATTGAAAAGGCTTGAATGAACTAACAAAAACAATGTTAGAATATAATGAAACAAGAACTCGGAATGCTCAATTCCGACTGGTTCGATTCGATTACATCACTGTGCGCAAGCCTATTTTGTCATAATAAATCAATCCTTAATAAAAATGTGCAATATATCTAAAATAATTAGGGTTAATTGCATTTAAAATCCCAACTTTTTGTGTAATTGCAAATAAAACTCAACTTTTTCAATTTGACAAAAAATATCAAACCTTTAATAAATATTGCAACTGTGTCTCACTCGCCGGATCGCCGTCAACCGCCACCCGTCGCCGGCCAACTTAGCCGGATGTTGAAAATTTTTATATGAACTTGTAGCTCTCCTCCGTGCCGACAACATATCCGAGTTTCACGCAAAAATTTCGATGATAAAGCTTCCAATTTTGCGGTCAAAATCATAAATCTTTAATTTTTTCCGGCGTTCTTTCGCAAATTCTCGGTGCTCGCTTTGACCAATGTGAATCCAAAGGTACCGTTGAACTCCTCTCGCTAAGCCGTATCTAATGACGTCCACCTTCGCCGGAACCAGTGACTTTTTCCGGCGACGACTTTTCCGGTCACCTTATTCAACGTTTTTTATGGCCGGAAACTGATTTTGAGACACAATTGCAATACTTATTAAAGGTTTGATATTTTTTTGCCAAATTAAAAAAGTTAGTTTTATATGCAATTACATAAAAGATTAGGATTTTAAATGCAATTAACTCAAATAATTAAGGCTAAGCATTACCACCATACAATTTTAAACCAACCAACTCAAAATTTACAAGAAATATATGAATGGATAATTGGAAACAAAACCACAAAATCTAAAATCAGAACTTTTCTATTAACCAATATGTCATCTTGAAAAAGACTATGTATTATGATTTTTATTTTGATCATTTAGTTATGTGTATATGTAGCTAAATATTTATTTTGATTTCAGGGACGGTGAACCCTCGATAACTAGGTTCAGTTAATGCAATTCATCTCATTTTATTTGTCATATAAAATTGTTTGTGTTATTCTATATAATCAGTCACAATTATGGAATTCATATATATATAATGTGATTTGTGTTTCTATAGATTTTTGCTTCCAAATCCCAATATTTTCCTATATTAATTACAGAGTATATATAATATATATTATGGAGTACTGGTATATTGATTTAGTAAATTTTAGTTAACCAAATATTTAGGCGGTTAAATATTCATTTTTTATATATATTCAGCAGGTTCATCTCTTTAAATAACAAATATTATTTTTTTCAAGTAATACCATTTAGTCATTTTATCTAATGTTTTCTATATTATCCCACTCACACAATTAAAAACAAAAGCAATCATTATTAATAACATACATTCACCTACTTACAAATTTTTTAACCTGTCTCATAATTTAATATTTTATTATTTTTCTATCTCAATAATTTTAATCATTACATATTTATCTAGTGTTTTTTCACTCATTTTTTCCCCACTTCTCCATCACACATTCCACAAAATTATTTGAAAAAAAATAAAAAAATAAAAAAAATCTTCTGTCCAAATTCCAATCCAACCCTAAATTGCATGCTTTATTCATCCTTATGATGTGAACAATACAATTTCCAATCTTGCATTACAAGAAAAATGCATAATCAGAAAAGACATGATACTGTCTGTGCCTACATACTTTATTTTACCCCATCAAACCTGCATGCATACATCTCAACAACACATAATACTCTCCCAACACTGGTACATACAGAGTTGAAACTATTACACAGAGAATACTTAAAAGAAAAATCTACATAAATACATCTAATAAAAATAAAATAAAATTACCCGGCGAAAATCTGGCCCGGAAGTAGCTCCTCACACAAAAGGGTGCCTTCGCACCCGACAATTTTCAAGAACGAACAAACACTGGTGCCGAATTTCCCCACAACTTCCAAAAATGCCCTTCGGACCACATTCTTGATCCAATCCTCGATCCTCTTGTTCCCGAACAAGTACATTCCCGCAAGAATCTGACGCATCACGTTCGTTTCTATCTCAACCGAGCACCTGAACCCACCTGCAAGTCGCAAACACGAATTGATCTCCTCAGAAACTCTCTCTGAGAGCCCGTCGAAATCAACCGGACTGAAAACCACTGTCCGGTCGATTAACCCCTCGAAATCCTCCACCCAAGTGGTTGAATTTTCCGAACCCGAATCCGACTCGGAATTTCGAGAGGAAATGTCGAATATTTCTCCACCATCAGCTGGCAGGTTCAGATCAAGCCCCAAATGATCAAGACTCGATTTTGATGCCTTGCATGCTCTTTCACGATAATCTACGATCGTGTTTTCCTCAATAGGCCTTCGTTTGTTCAAGAAAACCGGGTTTTGCTTCGCGGGGTCCTCGTTAAGATCGAACCCGATCATCATTCGAAGTAAACCGCCCTTAGCATTCAGTATAACCTCCTCGGCGTATTTATTCGACTTTTCTTTTCCATTTTGTGCCGTTTGGCTACTTCCAATAAACATGCAATTGCTTATAGTTATTTCACGTCCCTTTAAATCGGTCAATCTTCCTTTCTTCACAGCCTCCAGCAAGCTGTTCTGAACCACGAGATCTGCCTTGTCGATGTTTTCAAGGAAAACAACCGACGGCTTTTTGCTCAGCTTCTCGACCAAGAAATCGATGACTGTAGTACCCCTCATTCTCAATTCGTATTTATTCGGTAAATTCTGGTGAAACAGAGTCTCCACACGAGTCGACACGTTTTGGAAGCTCAGGTCAGCATACACCAGACATTCTCTGCTTCCGTACAGGATTTCAGCTAGCGCCAGGCCGAGTTTCTTCTTGCCCAACTTATCAGGCCCCCGGATGTGAATCCATACATTGCAGGGGCCCATTCGGGATTTTTTGGAAATTGTTTCGACTATGGCACTAATAGCTTCTTCTTGATTACAAATTCTCTCGACAAGTGCTCTGTAGATTGACTTGGGACAATTTGAAAAAAACATGTCGGCATTTATTGGCGAAATAATCCCCAAACCTAAATCTGTAGTAACAGAAGAGACTGAAGAAGGGGACCTTTGAAAGACATAATTTGTACCAACATTAAAAGAATCGCTTATGCCTTCAGGCTCGGCTGAGATTTCGCTGTTTTTAGGTAAAGTATTCAGATTTTTATCGGGCTTTGGGTGGATATCTGAAGAACTAATTCCTTTTGATGAAGAGTTTGGTGATCTAGTGGAGCTGTAACAGCCATTGTTGGTCTCATTTTCTTTTTTGCCCTCTGCAATTCGGAAACCTGGGACGTGTGTGTATTGATATTCTTTCAAGAAACTCTGACCAAAGTGATGCTGCCGGCAAATATCGTCCCATTTCTTCCCGAGAGCAGTAATTTTTGCATTCAGTAACAAACTATCATCTTTGCCCTGCACTGAAGCAAATATTGAAATCAAGTTGCTATGACTTGTTATGAAATCGAGTGCAAACAAAATTATTTTATTGGAAACAAAAATTTAACTGGAGTTTAAATTTATCGAAAATATAAGAAATCAGAGTTCAGCCGTTTAGCTGCAAAAGTTTAAATTGTGAGCTAGAACTGTAAAAAAAAGGCAAAAACTTGAAGTGAATACAATCCGTTTAAATTTTCACGTACACCCCAAATTCTAGCCGAATTGAGAAAAATTCGTTTTGAGAGCACCAAGAAACAAACAAACCTTCAAGGAAGCTGAAAAGCTTTGCGGGCTGGGCTCAGCTGGGTGCAACCATGAAGGCAAAATGGACTGATGGCCCGCATTTGAAATGCCCGCTACCTCTTGTTCGTACTTCTCGTCGCACAGATGGCACCTGGCCACATCTTGGCACGCATTTCCCAAGGGACTTTTTGTCTCTGATGGCATTGAGAAAAAACCGCCAAGTGGAACAAAAGACTCCATCAAGCTGTAATTTTTATTTATTTATTTTTTATTTTATGACATGCCGGTATGAGAATACATGAATAGAAAAGATCAGACATGAATGAACACAAGAATAAATAAATAAAAGAAACATTTTACTAAGGAAGTTCTTGCAAATTACAGTAAGAATTAAGAAATCATACAAATCGATCACAATAATTTGGTCTAGTAGATTTTACGGTAAAACACTTATTGTGGTTGAAGCTACAAATTCTCAGCAGTGGTAATGGAATTTGGGAAAATATAGAAGTAATACCAGACTTGAAGCTGAATGGTAGGAGAATCTTTCTTTTCAGCCTAAAAAAATGAAGTGTTTATTGTGATTGTCAGGTCTGGTTGGTAGAAAAAGGAAATTATTGATGGTATTCTTTCACTCAATGATCAAGGCCCAAGATCCTTTAAACATTCAACATCAACGGCCAGAACTGGTCATCCTTTATACCCGACATGTTGAAGGTCTCGTTTTCTTTTAGAAATGAACCACAAATGCAGAAAGGAGTACTTCATGCTCATCTGTGTAGAGGCGTGTGATATTTTTCTGAAAAATTAAATTATTCAAGGGAGGACAGATAAAGAGATAATACTACCTCTATACACCTTAATATAATGCCTATGATCTCCAATATGTTATAAACTACAATACCAAGGGCTTGATCAGTGGACAACTAGTAAACAATGGTCAGTTCAGCTCATTTTTCTTCATTCTAAATGATCTTCAAAGACCAACAGGCTAATCAAGCACAGTTCTAAAATTCAAGCTCTATCGATTTTCAGTCAGTGAAGGCGTAAAATCAGCTCCAAGAAATAATTATCTAGCGTCAGCTCGAAAGACACGGCGGAGGAATATATCTCCTGGTACAGAAAAGCCTTTCTCATGGTCCTATATTAATAAATGCTTGCATTATAGTACAACCAAGAAATCAAAAAACACAGATGCCTCACATTAAATAAACTCATTATTGCTTCAAAAGTTAGACAAAACTAAAGAAAGATGAATAATAGATTGAGTTTACCTGGATTTGGGATATGTTCCTCCCACAGAAACTTTAAATGAAGTTATGGGCAAAATTTCCAGGTCCCAATCATCCTCAATTGTAGGAAATTTCTTCAAAACCTTGAAATAAACCTCGTAACTTGCAGCTACTCCAGTTATCCACAGTTTACCACCATAAACCTCAACCAATTTACCCAATCTCTTCACCAAAATCCTTAGACCATCAACATTAATGTCTTCACTTTCAACACCCAATTCATTGAAATCTCCAAAATTCACCACCACTTTACAACCCTCCACCATTTTCTCCATCTCCTCAAGCTTCAATCTCAATGGCCCATCATCAAAATCCCCATTCAGACACCTAGAAATCTCATCTTTAATGCAAACAACCCTCAGCCCATTGAAAAGCCCATCCGAAAAGCCCAAGCCTTTACTCATCTTCTCCAACAACATTTTCAATGCATCACCTGCAGAAACCCCAACAAGAAGTGGGCACCGCTTTTTCTCCCTCCTCATAATCTCGAAAATTCTCCTCAGATTCTCGTCGTCCCCGGGAAAACAGCCCACGAAAGGAAAATTGCACAGAAATAAAGGTGGATTCGGCCGCTTGTACCTCGAGGTATAACCGACCACCTGCGGTGAATAGAACCCGCCGGCCCCCTTTCTGAGCAGGGCCATTTTTATGTCGAAATTCCTGAAGCCCGCCTCGCCAAAAACCCTGCTCACCAGAGGGTCGTCGAGGATCGAGACCACCAGATTCTGGAGCTCGACCTTCACGACGGGGATCGAGGAGGAATACGACTGGTTCAGCTGCTTCTGCTGCATCTGCTGCTGGTGGTAGAAGGTGTAGTTCTCCGGCTGCCGCCTCTGGTTCGCCTGCGACCTCTTGATGGCGGCCATCAGGGAGTTGGAGACAGGCGGCCCGATTTCGGTCCGGTTGTACGAATTGGACGGCAGCCGGTCGAGGGAGACGGTCAGGGAGAGCTCGAGAGCCTTGAATTGAACTCTAGTGGAGTACGCGCCTGCGCCATGCCGGGCACGGGCGCAGGCCTCGCGCAGGGAGGAGCTTGGGAGGGCGAGGAGGGAGGAGATCATGTGTAGCGACGTCGTCTGGCCGTGGCCGCGGCGTCGGGACACCGCCACCGCGTCGTCGAGGGCCGCCGCCGCCTCCGGCGTCAGGCATTGCCTGGCGGCGCTAACGGGCGTCGGCATGAAATTGCAACTGTGTGCGCTGGTTTTTGGAACAAGAAACAAAAGGGTGTGCGTGTGTTTGTGTGGAATTAAATAATGGTTTGTTTTGTAATTGTGTGTGTTGTCGTTTTTTGTTTTTTTTTTTTCCTTTTTTTGGAGATAATAATAATCTTTAAAGTTTCATCTAAATCATTATATTGTACATTTATTTAATTTAATTTAATTTAATTTATAACAAGATTATATAATTATTAAATGCGTGAGTGTGAGTAAATAAAGTAGGAATATAATAATTGTTGTTTATATGGAGGTGTCATAGAGTTGAGAGGAGAGGGTTTTCAGTGATTATTTCAAAAAAATTTATGGTGGTGGAGAAGACGCTGCAAAATCCAAGTGTCATTACTGTTGGTGGTGGGGAGACTGTGTATGTGTGTGTGAGTGAAGTTATGTGTAGGGTCATAGGGCATTTAGTGGGGACAAAGAATCATACTACCTCCTTTTTTTAAATAAATGTCGTTTTGACTTTTTTGATTCATCCATTTTGTTATGTATCTAGACATATTAATGTCTAGATACATAGCAAAATGAATGAATCAAAAAAGTCAAAACGACATTTATTTAAAAAAGGAGGAAGTATTTTTTTTAGAAATCTTTATAATTTCATAGTCTCATTTTTGTTAATTTGGTCTATATATATGTTGTTATATCCTATCTTAGGGTTCAGATGATTGTTGTTATCATCGTTAGCACGTATTATTTCAGCTGAGTCGAACCCAACACGTTATGTTTCAGGATCAGGGGTGCGATTCCACACATGTGAAGTACGGTATAAGTGGGTGAAATTGGGTGCACCATAGTGAGGTTTTCATTTCAAAACTAATTGGTGATGAGAGGAGTAGCCCACTGGACTTTTAAACTAGGCTCGTTTACCCTATCAAGTCAATGCGGGATGACTCATAAGCGGTATTCCAACACGTCCCCTCACTTGTGAGCCCTTCATAAGCTCACGCCTACAATCAGGTCGGGTACATTTAATAATCATGAGCCCACGCTTACAATTAAACTGGGTACATTTTTTCTTAAAATCATTGCAGGTTCAAATTAGGTATATATGTTCTGATACCCTGTTAAATTTTAATAATCGGGGGATCAATGGTGTGGTCCCACACAGGTGAAGTACACTATAAGAGGGTGAGCCTAGGTGCATCATAGTGAGGTTTCATCTTAAAATCAATTGGTGATGGAAGGAGTAGCCACTAAGCTTATAATCTAGGTTTATTTACGCTTCAAATCAATGTGAGACGAATCACAAGTGATATTTCAACACAAACATATTTAGTTCATATGTTTATTAGACATCTATAATTTAATAATATACGAACTTTTCGCGAACAAGCCTAATTAGGTTTGCTTAGTAAACATGTTCAATTCGTTGTTCGATCTCAACTCGTTTTAGCAAACAAATAGTTCAAGCTCAAACTTTTACGAGTCGAACTGAACTATGGTGCGTGAACATTTCTATTCGAATAATACCTCCAATTGTGATTTCCTTTCATTTTGTTTGATTCATTTTAAAAACTTCCTTGTAGTCCCAAATAACTAGTAAAAAATGTTAGATTAAAAAACAACTTGGCCTTCTTTTTTAGTTATTATTTAATTCCTATGTCGTAAAGTACTTTTAATACATTTTTTTAAGCAAATTAGAGAAAGAGAAAGGAGAATATTTTGGGGTGATTGAATATAAATTCAATTAGAAAAAAAAAATTGTTTTTTTTAATTATAGTTAAATTTGAAAAAAAAAGTAGTATGGTTAGTTGTTAGTAGTAATATTAAAATAATGTTTAAATTATAATAATTAAAGTTGATTTGATATAAAAGTAGGAAAAATAATTAGAAGAAATGGTTAGTTAAAATTATGTGAGTGGATTAATAGTGAATTAAAGTTGATGTGATGTGTAACAATGATTGGTTGATATTATTTAATTATATTTATAATATTGGAGATAGTTGAGCGCTTGGATGAGATGGCTTGGGTCTCTTCCAGCTTAACCAGTGGTCTCGAGTTCGAGCCCTGGGAATGCAGCAGTGTTAAAACTCTGGAGGGAGAGCTTTGCCGCCCTTGTGGTCCTACCCGACTCGATTCCGGATTAGTCGGTTCCCTTGTGGATCCGGAAATCGGAAGGTCCCTGTACAAAAAAAAAAGTTGAATTGAATTTGAGTTTTGAATGAGATATTTATGGTATCAATCATATACAATCACGGCCTTTGTGTTTCAACAATCCAATCATCTCAAGTGGTTAAAAAATAAAATGAAATCAAATAAATGAATGACTACAATTTCGTTATAGAATGATTCCGTCAATGTTTTTTTATCGTTAGATACACATGTAAATTTTGTAGGTAGATAATGTTCGATAACAAAGTGAAGAGTGAATATGAAAAGACGTAATGTATTTATTAGCTAAATGAGGATAATAATGAAAAAATATGTAAAAAAAATCCAAAACGACATTTATTTAGTAAATAGTTGATAAAGCTAGAATGTCGTTTAAAAAATAGGAAGGAGTACGTTTTATTTACATTCATTTTAATTTTTGAAAAATCTCGTTGGTTTATTGTTTCATTTTCTAACAAGAGTGTTCATATACTTGTTGTATATCTATAGATACCAATTATTATTAATTAATATTTTTTTATTTTTTGACATCGAATCAAATTTATTTATCATATATTATATCTGATATTCACTCATAAATTCAAATTTAATTCATGTTTCTAAAGACTTTTTTTTTCACTTTTTTTTTTTGTTTTTATTGTACTGGATAAATTTCTTTTTACTTTTTTAATACCCAATGACAACCTTAAACATCATACTCCTAGAGTAAGTCTTAGCTTAGTAGGATCTTCATTCAAATCATGTTTTAGCAAGTTGTTTTCACTATCAATATGCACTGAAATTTTTAATATCATTTTTGTCTTTGGTTCGAGCCTTAACGAGCTGATCTCGAGCTGAATTATAAAAAATTATATAAAGATTCTATTTTCATGTCTTATTGGGTCGAGCAGAGTTTAGCTCAACTAGACTCGTTAACCAAACGAGCTTTAAATGAGCTCGAGCTCAACTCATTAAGGCCTCGAACTCGAGCCGAGCGTGTTCACCCGGACTCGTTCAATTTAACCGTACAAGTTACCACCCAATCTG